GCCAGCACAAAGCAGTTCAGGATTATCTCCCACAAGTTTCATTTGAGCTATGAAAATTTATGGTGTCAACACAAGGTTGAAATTCCAAGTACTTTTAGATGTCATTCATTTTCTTCATGTTCATGGAGCCTACTTGTGCATTTAGTCCCTCCAATCTCCGCAAAGATCCTCTATAGTATTTAATCATGTCTGATGTGTTTTAATTGATCTTGTAGAAATCTATGGTGTGAACGTGAGCCAAGTATACTGAATGTTAGATGTATTCTAACTCTTTGTACCTCCTCATTGTATAAGGGAGTTTTGTGCATATTTGCTAACTATGCAGCACGAATACGGATACACGTATCGGTATCAGAAGGATACGGATATGCGGATACGGCAATTTCTCAGTAAACCTGATACGCGGATACGTTTTACTATTTTTTTTAATAAAATAAATAATAATGCAAATTAAAATTGTGAAAGTGTAAATTGAGTAATCACTAATTATTAGTTTATAGTACGTACAATCATATATGATACATCACCAGATCACCTTGTAGGTTTCTTAGTTTTCACAGGAGATCCAAGTCCAACTATACTGCGCAATTACTAAAACAGGAAGTCAGGAACAGGATTGTGTCTGTTATGGTTGTGGCCAGTGGACCTATGCTAGGACTAGCTGACTAGCACTAGCACTTGCACGGTTGCGCCAGCACGGCTGAAATTTGGAGAGGCCATCTACTGGATGCAAGCAACAAGTAGAGAAGTAGAGTACATCAAGAATGAAAAGGGAGTGTACTCATGGGAGATCGGCGGAAGCTAGCTTTGCTGCTGAGTGCTGAATCGTCCTCTTCCCTGCATCTCCCCTCCGCATCGCGGGAGCTAGCCGCATCTGTAGCGGACTGGTGGGTGCTCCCCAGGGCGGTGCACGTGGGGACTGGGGATGCGTGCATAGGATGCGGCGCGAGGGGCGGGGGCACGTCGCAGGGGCGGAAACGCGTCGCTGGCGGCCGGCGAGCGGGGACGGAGGCTCGTCGCCGGTGGCCGGCGGCCGGCGCACGGGGATGCTGCACGAGGCGCGGTGTTGCGGCGCGAGGCGTGCGGGAATCGGGAGGCTAGGGCGTCGGGGACAGGATAAGGCACTTTTGTTGGGCTGGGCTGTATCGGCGACGAAGATACGTTTCAGACCACATATCCAATATTCGCGAAAAAAAAGAAAAAAAAACAGATACTCCGCGGACACGTATCAGCGGCGTATCCATATCGGATACGTATCCGATACGCGATACGAGGGACCAACGACATATCCCTATCTGTGCAACATAGTTTGCTAATACATGTACCTACATATATTTGGGCCTAGAGCTCATAAATCATAATGAATACAAGTTCTATTCATGTCATGGTACAGACTACAGAGCCAAACTAGGGTTAGGTTTCCTCTCGATCTGCCCTAGATGATTTTGTTTTCACCCCATGTGACCACTGCTGTCATTCTTTGTCAAATTTGCTGTCGCACAACTTGTTGCTTGTCCGCCCCCACGTGGAAATCAGCGCTGGCATGCGTCCCCTCAATCTGTGCAGCTCGTTGTCTGCATGATTTGCCACAGGGGTTCTCTCGTCCGGTTCATTGTGGCTGCCTGCTTCCTCGGTCTGCTGGATTTTCTCGTCTCTTCAGCGCGTCCCTGCAGCACATGCAGCCTCGATTCCATCTTCCACGACTGTCCGCCTGTTATTACGCGGGTCGTGCATTCTTGCTAGATTTATAGTGGGGAATATTAATTTTGTAATGAACTGTGTGGGCATGGGTAAATGATGGGCAAGTGTGTGTTACTGTCCCCGCACCCTATATTCTAGTGGGTTTGTAGATTGGTAGACTGATCCAGTTGCAGGAGATAGCTGTAGCGTGTGTTAGTGTGTTAGAGAACTTGGTGTTTAGTTTTAATAGAGCTGTGCCCCACAGTTGTGCTTAGCTACCACCCCACCCAGTGAGGCAGGATTGAGAAGGGACTGGGAAGGCAGATTGTAATTTTTACTTGATCAATTATTGGGAGGCATTTTACAGTGCTGATCCTCCTGACTATTGAAACTAGGGCTCTAATCAGGGCTGTACGTACTGGGAAGGTATACCTCCCTTCCTTTTTTCTCGAAAAATGCAGGAGAGCTGCGTCTCATTGTATTAAGAAGAAAAAGGGTATAAGAACCTAACACTTACAAGACCCACCCAAACACAACTCGCTCACTCACACAACACACGCTACTGCAGCCAAAGCACAAGCGCACCTAAGCTGGCTGCAAGGCTACCCACACAGACCCAAAGACTAATCGCCTGGGAGATGGGCTGACAAGAGGGAAAGCCCTTGAGCCCCTGCCGTGGTCCACAACTGGCGCTCGGTGGCTCACACTAGAAAACAAATCAATCACGAGATAGCTTTCTAACTAACAAAAGATAACCTATCAATCTAGCAGCTGAAATCTTATTAAATTAGCTCAAACTAGGCCTGGCTTGAATAAGATATGGTCTACCAACTGCCTTCTTGCAGTTATTACTCTGTACCCTATCAAATAGTGTGTGCATGCTTGTGTGGGTAATGTTTACCCATTAGCATCCTTATCGAGACTGACGGAAATCGTGTCTTCTACCTATTTTTTCTTCACATAAATCTTGAGACACTTTTGGAGGGTAAAGATTATTATATATGTTCAAGTGGTTTTGCGTTTTCCCTGATCCCCCTCCTGGCCTCTTTTTTTTCCTTCTGCATGTTTCTTTTTTGTAGTCTCATGAAATTCCTTTCATTTATATATATTTGATATAAACAGCCTTAGTGTTCACTGAAAATTTGTTGTGCCTATATATAGCATGAAATGTTCAACATCATGAGTTTGATATAAACAGCCTTATTGCCTGTTGCTGCTCTTCAATTAACTTGTTGAAAGTTATCTGTGAGGTCACAATTAACTTTCTTTAATATTGGTAGATATCACTGTTTTTTATATTGGTATCTTTTATGCAACTGCAGTCATGCTTTAGCCATTTTATGATTGTAACATGTCGTCTTGCTAATCTCTTATCTAATTATCAAAACAGGTTGCTCAAGCAGAGGCCCAACGTGTCATCCAACTTAGAGAACAACTGGGCCATGCCCTTGTCACAAGCGTTACACAATCTACTTCTAGTCTGCTCATGATTACTCCACCAGAGCAAACTTTGGCTATAATGCAGGGTTCAGGAGTAAGATCGACACCTCCCCAGTCACAACCACTGAATCCTGCAACTTCACTTCCCCCGACAGTCAGTGCAGTGGGTGATGAGTCCAAGAGAACGGCAGCAGCTATGGCAGATAAGCTTGCATCTTTGTCAGCACCTGTGCAGGTGCTGACCTCCATTTTGTCATCTTTTGCTGCTGAGCAAGCTGCTTCCATAAATGGTGGATCGCCTTCTGGAGAATTCTCTGGAGGACCACCAGGTTTCCAGATTGATAAGAGGCCTAGGCTTGAGAAAACAGGGCAGGCTGCTGACATGGGTGCACCTCCCTTTTTTGGGCAAGCGCCACAGGTGCAACAACAGATTGGAGCAGTGCCTACTTCTCTTGGAGGCACGCATCCACCAACTCCAGGCCCATTCCCACCACCTCCACCGCCATTGCCTTCTCTATTGCCACCGCACCTGCAACAATTTGGTCAAAATACTGGAGGAATGATTGGGATGGGAGGACCTTTCGGGATGATGGCTGGCTCTATGCCACTTCCGCCTCCATTGACCAACATTCTGCCGGCAGGTTTTCCGGGACCAAGTGGGCCACCTCCTCCACCTCCACTTCCACCAGCTCAGAGTCAGCCCCAGCCCCAGCAGCAGCAGCAGTCTCAGGCGCCACAGCAATCACCAACATCAGCTGGATTCTTTCAATCATCAGGCATGGGGTTCTTTCCACCTGTGCAGGTGCAGCAATCACCGTCTGCCCAACGACAATGATTCCAATGGTGGCTATGGCATTCATGGGTTTAAAGGCCGCACCTTGTGTTAACTTTGTACATTAAACAGTATTCACCGAGTATCGAGCTTAAGCGTGGCTGGTCCTGCAAGCGAGGCAGGGCCAATGGCTACGAATTAGAAGATTGTAGAATAGGCATGCATCTTTTGTCATGTATAACTATTCCTTCTTTTGTCTGAGGAGTTTTCACTCTTCCTAGTTATGTGAAGTAGTTAGACTTTGTTTTTGTTCCCGTCTGCATTGATCCCCCGAGGCAGAAGAAAGTGACTTGGGAAAACAGGTGCTTAAGAGTTACCAACTGGTAGAACAGTTTTAGGGCTAAAACAGTTGTAGAACTTACTGGTCATAGTCTCATGGATATGATCTGAACTGCAAATATTTTCCATGCTGTTTAAAATTGTTGATTCTTATTTTATTCTTCTTATTATATACCTTCTTGTTTGGGTCTAAAATTGCTGATTTCCTTCACTTGGTTCTTACACAAGGACTAGTTTGGACAAGGAATGGTGATTTAGACAAGTTGAGATGAATCAATTTGGCGTCTGTGCATGACTCCACACACAATCTATTTAGATTTGTTGAGTTTTTCTTAAAGATGTTTCAGAATTTATTAATGGACCTGCACTGCAACTTACCAAGTTGGTGTAGAGGCTGGAGCTGGAAACCTTTGTCTTAAAAGTAACTTACCAAGTTGGTGTAGAGGCTGGAGCTGGAAATATACTTCCTTTGTCTTAAAAGTTGGGTGCCCAATGATGAAAAATGAATACCATGCACAAATTGATCTCAGTCTGCCAATAGCAAGCAGATTGAAGCTACAGATCATAGTGTAGCACTAGCTAGGAAATGCCTGCTGACAGCAAGCAACCTATCATGTTAGTTTTTTTTCCTCTACACAAGATTACACAAGGCTGACTACAGAATAGTAGTTGCTAGCTACAACTACAAGAGAGAACGATTCGAACCAGAGAATTAAGGAACATCAAGTGATACTAAGCTGTAGCAGCAGTTTCGGGTTCATCAGGACTACTAATTCTGCCTGGGGTTGTATCTGCTCGCCGGCGCGCTCTTCGTGCTGGCGTTGAACTCCACGTTCGGCTTGGTCGTCGTCGTCGTCGGCGTCGCTGTTCGATGGTCCTTGACATCGAAGGTGTTGGTGGCCATGGCAGCCCCCGCCGCCGCGCGCAGCAGCCTCCTGGTGGTTGTGGCAGCCGTGGCCCGACGACGCTGTGCCCAGCCTTGTTGCGATGACGATGACGCCGCCGCATTGCTGTCGCCGCCGCCGCCGCCGCCCGGACGCAGGGTCGTCGGCGGCGACGACGACGCTGCTACTGCGGCCGTCGCACTGCTGCTCAGGAGGAGGAGGAGGAGGAGGTGGAGCAGGATCACGGCGCTCATGGCCGCGCTGTAGCGGCATGCTGCAGCCTGCTTCATCTGCAGAGCCTTCAGCTGTGAGATGACTTCCAGTTACTAGCAGCGCAGGAGCAGGAGGATCGCTAGCTGCTCGGTCCGGTGTGTTGGACGGAGTTGGAGGAGTAGATCTTGGACTTGCAGAGCGAGCTAGCTAGTGTAAGTAACCGCGGGTTGTGTATTATTATATATACATATCGTGGCCCTGCACTGCAGTATATTACGTGTACTAGTGCTAACATGGCTGCGAGTGGAAGACGAAGCACACTGCTTCCACTTCCACTGAGTTGGGAACGTGCAGGGAACATGCATGGATGCTAGGTACTCTCCTGCATAGGCTGCATATCTTGGGTCGAGTGGAGAATGGAGCATATGGCCGAGCTGTGTGAACATGTTGCCCTGGGATGGGATCTACATCACTTCGTCCTTGTTCTTTCTTGCACATGAAAGGGAAAAAAAAAACACTTGCGTTAAAAAAAAGGAAAAAAAAACACTAGTTTTTGGTTCTCTTTGACTGAGCTGGTCGGATCAGATGTTCGAGAACTAATCCAGGCACCTGCGTACCATTGCCGTCCTTCATTCATTCTCTCCTTCTCTCTGACAATATTGCCGTCAGGTCAGGACGTCAGATCAGGTTATCTGGTCAGATGCTTAGGGCGCGTTCGCTGGCTGGCCGGTTGGGGCTGGGCTGGCCAGAGCACTAACAATGACACTGTTCATATGAACAGTGTTTTCAGGTAGAATAATATTTTTCCTCTCGTAACAATCAGTCGGAACAGTATTTTAGCTTATTTTTTAGTCTTGCCGAACAGCCTCTTAGTATGGTCATCAGTTCAGACGGAATCCTAAACGCCGACCATGTGAAGTGAAGTTCATCTAAATTTGACCACTATTTGTACATATCCGGCGCCGCGTATATATATGAAGCGGCCGGAGGAGTTTCTTTCGGTTCAGTTTAAGTTTAACTAGCTAGCCACGCAGTGTCATGCTTGTGACCAAATCACACATTCGTTTCTTGGACTAGCTTGAGAACGAATCTTATTTGGTTAGTTGCGCGATCGAACAACAATAATGGCACCAACAAGCTTCCAGATTCAGATCCGTGCCGTGGGGGCGTGGGTGATGTACGGCCAGTAGGTCACAGACGGATCACACCCAGATAGAATGCTCCTTCCTTTTGGACAGTGCACACAGCATATACAATCCAATATATATAAATTCAGTAGCTCTGCTTTTCCAAGAAAAAAAAAAGAACATGTACAAATTCAGTTCCTAATAATACATGCTAAATTCTTCAGCTTTCTGAAAGTTGGTTATATATGCCACTGATGAGCTGATGACGACTGACCTCGCATGAACTTGAACCTTGTTATATATACACCATATATGCATATATTACCTTTGTGAATCGCTAAAAAAAAAAACTTTGTGAAAATGCTGTTACCGGTCCAATTTATTTAGAGTAGTAAACAAAGCACTTCCAACTAACGAACTGCTACAAGTGCATGCGTCTCGTCTCCACATGGAAGAGGAGTTGGCCAATGACCATCTGTCCACAGCTTTGACCGGCCGCGGCCGGCTTTATATCGATCCAATATCATCGGCTAATTGCATTGCCGAGCTGCTCCTTCTTTGTTACTACCTAGCTAGCTAGCTCCTCTGCAATCCCAATCATTGAGACGTTGTCAGTTCATTCTTGGCCGTTTTTCTCTTGGACCACAGCGGTAGATGGCATATGCTATAGCAACTAGTAACATGGGAAATGAATGAACTTGGTTGGAGTAGAGCTGCGTACCACTGCTGTACATTTGCAATGCATGCTGCTGCGACATGCTGTTTGCATTCGAATTTGGACCTGGACGGCTGCATGCAACTGCAAAGGACATGAGGATTTCTTAGTGAAGGCCGGACTGATGATATATGAGGTCAGCAACTCTTAGTCGAGCGCTATCGCTGCTTAATCTGAACACGCTAGGGTCCTATTCTTTCGCTGAACAAATTAAAGGGATCGGAGTGGTTGCCGGTTTGCAATGATATATAGTGCAAATCACCACAACCGCCGCCTCCTTTTCATGCGTTGACTGCATCTGTTCATCGACTAGTAATGGACAAAAATCTGATGCCACTTGTTCCATTGTGTGGATCCTTATGACTTGTGAGTGTAAGCGCAAAAATGGTCTTCTATATATGAAAATTTAATAAGGAATATAAAATAATTCATAACGCTAAATCAAACAAAGTTGCAAACTGAGCAATAGCTTTGCTGGTTGGGTTGTGGACCTGTGGTGGACCTTTCCAGCCGTGATGAAATACGAGATTTGAACTGTCACACCTCTTGTATTAAATACGAGGCCACCATGTTTGCCGATATATGACTTAGACTAGAATTACGAGATTAATCTATCTTCCAAGATCAAATAAAATTTAAAACAATTTGTAGTGGAGATTGATCAAAGTTGGGGATGTAGCTCAACTGGTAGAGCGCATCTCCAATTGTTATTTTTTATTAATCTTTTTTCCAAGATCAAATAAAATTTAAAATAGTTTGTAGTGGAAATTGATCAAAATTGGGGATGTAGCTCAACTACTCAACTCCTCGCATCTCCAATTTTTTTTTTTATGAATCTATCTTCCAAGATCAAATAAAATTTAGAACAGTTTATAGTGGAAATTGATCAAAGTTGGGGATGTAGCTCAACTGGTAGAGCGTTTATCAATGCATGAAAAAGGTACGGGGTTCACCTCCTTGCATCTCCAATTATTATTTTTTATTAACCTATCTTCCAAGACTAGATAGATTTAAAATAATTTGTAGTGGAAAATTGAACAAAAATAGGGATGTACCTCAACTGGTAGAGCGTTTGTCTATGCATGAAAATGGTACGGGGTTCAACTCCTCGCATCTCCAATTGCTACTTTTTATATAAATTTGTCTTCCAAGATCAAATAAAAATTAAAACAATTTGTTGTGGAAACTGATCAAAATCTGGGACATAGCTCAACTGTTCAAGTCCTTGCATCTCCAATTTTTTTTTTATTAATCTATCTTCCAAGATCAAATAAAATTTAGAACAATTTATAGTGGAAATTGATCAAAGTTGGGAATGTAGCTCAACTGGCAGAGCATTTATCAATGCATGAAAAAGGTACAGGGTTCAACTTCTCACATCTCCAATTATTATTTTTTATTAACCTATCTTCCCAGATTAGATAAATTTAAAATAATTTGTAGAGGAAAATTGATCTAAAATGGGGATGTCGCTCAACTTGTAGAGCATTTGTCTATGCATGATGAAAAAGGTACGGGGTTCAATCCAAGATCAAATAAAATCTAAAACAATTTGTACTGGAAATTGATCAAAATTGGGGATGTAGCTCAACTGTTCAACTCCTTGCATATCCAATTATTATTATTTTTGTTAATCTATCTTCCAAGATCAAATAAAATTTAGAACAATTTATAGTGGAAACTAATCAAAGTTGGGGATGTACCTCAACTGGTAGAGCGTTTATCTATGCATGGAAAAGGTACGGGATTCAACTCCTCGCATCTCCAATTATTATTTTTTATTAACCTATCTTCTAAGATTAGATGAATTTAAAATAATTTGTAGCAGAAAATTGAGCTCAATTTGTAGAGCGTTTGTCTATGCATGAAAAAAGGTACGGGGTTCAACTCCTCGCATCTCCAATTGTTGTTCTTTTATTAATCTATCTTCCAAAATCAAATAAAATTTAAAACAATTTATAATGGAAATTGATCAAAATTGGGGATGTAGCTCAACTGTTCAACTTCTCGCATCTTCAATTTTTTTTATTAATCTATCTTCCAAGATCAAATAAAATTTAGAACAATTTATAGTGGAAATTGATCAAAGTTGGGATGTAGCTCAACTGGTAGAGCGTTTTCAACTCCTCGCATCTCTAATTATTACTTTTTATTAACCTATCTTCCAAGATTAGATAGATTTAAAGTAATTTGTAGTGAAAAATTGAACAAAAATGGGGATGTAGCTCAACTGGTAGAGCGTTTGTCTGTAACACCTTCGGTGTTACGCTCTAAACCAACTACTAAATTATGTCACGAGCATCGTGTTTGTATAATAATGCATGTGATAGAAGGTGTTGATAAAATTCTTGTAGCCTAAAATAATCAATAAAAATGTTAAATCAATGTTGATGCAATAGCTCATGTATATCAAGTAGGGTTTAAAACCAATTTTTATTAAGCAAAAATACTATAGAACATGTGTGTGGTACTTAAATAAAGTTGGAAGTGCAAACTTTGTAGATGACAATGAAACGCTTGCTGTTGAAAAATAATATTGCTTAGTAATATTTTTAATAGCTTCGAAATGTAATTTGAGATAGATTTCAACTCAAAAAACTTAGAAAATTTTAAGCTTTTGTACAGCTGGATATTGCTAAGTTTAGCAATTTATTTAGAGAGATTGGGTTAGAGGGTGATGTGGTGTTTTAGCTTGGCTGAGCAGCCTTATGTATCAGTTTGATCGTGGTGAAGTCGGTTGTGGTTTAGAGGCAATGGTTTAGTGGTAGTCGCTGCTTTAAAATCCATGCACAACACGTTCTCGGGCTAGCCCTCTGGGCTGGGCGCGGTCACCAGGCCGCGGGGGCGCGCCGTCGCGGCGTTGGTGCGCTCTGCGTGCGCACGCGCGCTGCCACGCTTGGCCGGCCTGGTCGCCCGTGCCGTGGCATTGGCCGGCCTCGGTCCGGCTGATCGCCACTGCCGCTGCCACGCTGTAGCGCTCTATGCCGCTGCCGCTGCGCCGTGCCGTTGGTGCTGCTGTTGCCCCCGGGCCAGCGCCACGTTGATGCCACTGCCGCTACCGTCGCATCGCCACGCTACGCGCTTGTCGCTACACCGCGCTACGTCATTGGCCTGCTTTGATGCCGCGCGCACGAGGCCGTGTGGCCATCGTCTTGTCATTTATGGCACTGCGGCGCGCGGGTCACGTCGGCAGCGAGCGCGTGGTCGCCGACTGTGCGCCAGGCCAGGCTTGGCC